CTACAAGCCCTACAAGCCCTACAAGCCTTACAAGCCCTACAAGCCCTACAAGCCCTACAAGCCCTACAAGCCTATAAAGCCTGAACCCTAAACCCTAAAACCTGAACCCTAAACCCTGAACCCTAAACCCTGAATCCTAAACCCAAATCCGATAAGGGGAACTTTTCCTGTCCAGGCTGACAGTTCTTGGAGGTTCATGGGTACTTATAACCTCACTTCGAAGTCTACTTAGAACCTACTTAGGGGACTTGGGGGGCTTATCAGTAGAGTTATCATGAACCCTAAACCCTTAACCGTAAACCCTGAACCCTAAACCCTAAACCCTAAACCCTAAGCCCTAAACCCTAAACCCTACCAAGTTGTGGGATGCTGTGGGATGTTGTGAGTTGTGGGATGCTGTGGGGGTCCAGGACCCCGGTGCGTGCGCTAAATTCTGCGCCATGTCTTGGGGCGTTTGTACCCTAAACCCTAAACCCCTGACCCAAAACCCTCAACCTTCAACCCGTAAGCCTAAACCCTAAGCCCACAACTAAACCCTAAACCCATAACCCTAAACCCTAAACCCATAACCCTGAAATCTGGACCTTAAACCCAAACCCTAAACCCCAAACTCTAAGCCCGAAAACGAATCTTCCAGCCCCCAAGCAGCAAGAACCGCATCTGGGGCCAAAGGCTCCATGAAGTAGCCGGCATTGTGGATGACGAGGTCTACCGGGCCCTGAGCAATTGATCGTTTCGGGTTTGGGGCGAGGAGTCCAGAGGTTGAGGTTGGCTTGTTTAGAGTTTAGGGTTTAGGGTTTAGGGTTTGGGGTTTGGGGTTTAGGGTTTAGGGTTTAGGGTTTAGGGTCTAGGGTTTAGGCTTATGGGTTTGGGGTGTAGGGTTTTGGGTTTAGGGTTTAGGGCTTCGAATTTTCGGGTTTAGGGTTCGGGTTTGGGGTTCATAGGCTTCTAGGGGCTTTCAAACTTTTTAAGGACCGTTACAGGTTGCTGTCTTTACAAGCCTCTTGGAAACAGCCTCTTATAGGAGTTCAATGGGACGCTACTCACTTTCTAAAACTGCCCTGAAATTCTAAGAATCGAGCTTGCGAGATTCTTTTCGGCCAGGAGAGGGGTGGGTAGTCAGAGAGCCGCAACCCCTAAACTCTAAACTCTAAACCCTGAAGCCTAATGCGTCACGCGGACTCTCCTGATTAGGGACTTTGTGTCAGCACGGAAGAAGAAGCAGACAGACGGCGCACTTCGGAAACTTCTGGAAGTGCGTCCCTGAACCCCAAAAACCCCAAACCCCAAACCCTGAACCCCAAATCCTAAACCCTAAACCGACCTAAACCCCAAACCCTTTAAGCCCTAAACCCTATAAACCCTATAAACCCTATAAACCCTAAACCCCAAACTCTACACCCTGAAGCCGACGCCCTCAACCCTCCCAAGCCCCCCCTAAGCCCCCTCAAGCCCCCCAAGCCCCCTAATATGGTCATAAGTACAGCTACAAGTACAGTTATAGTTATAGTTATAATTGCCTAATAAGCACCCTGAACCTCCAAGTAAGGCAACGGCATCCAGCTCTTTCACCAGCTTGTCCATGGTTGCATTCTTTTGAACGTCGATGCCAGAAATGACCTGCAAAACGCTTTCTGCTAGTTGCTTAAGAAACCCCCCAAAACATAGAAAATACTCCCTGTATTGCCCTTTGTGGGGAAGAATATGTGTATCTCTTTGTCTGTTCATTATTTTGTTTATTAATATATGAAGGTATATGTATATATATATATATATATATATTGTGTGTGTGTTTTTGTATTTTGTTATTTTTTTTTTTGGGGGGGGGGGGGGTGGGGGTTCTTGAGCTTATCAACCTCAGGCTCTGAGGACTCCTAGTTCAAGGCCTTTTGGCGACAAAGCTGACAGAACATAGTACTTGGCGCGGGTCCTTTAAGTCCAAGGGTAGTTGCATGGTCCCGTAGTACGGGCCCTTAAACGAGTACCCCGTATATACCCCTTATTTACCCTCCACAAACTAAGGGCCCATGCATCAGAACCCTTTAAGCGATGTAAGGGAGCATCTTAAGGGCCCATTACACTACTACCCTTAGACCCCTTATATACCCTTATATACCCTAAACCCTAACCCTAAACCCTAACCCTAAACCCTATACAACCCAAGGGCCCATACTTCAGGACCCTTTAGAGGAGGTAAGGGACCGTCAGATTCAGGGCCCTTGAAGCTACCCTTAGATTAAGGGCAAGGATCCATTGCTAACACCTAAACCGTACAGCCTACACCCTAAACCCTAAACCCTAAACCCCTAGATTAAGGGCAAAGATCCTGTCCTAACACCGTTCGCCTTGGCACAGCCGGCGGCGTCCAGGTCTTTGCTCGCACCCCGGCAGGTTCCAATCGTCTCGGCCTTGGTCGAAGTGCCACCTGGAACCCTCAACCCTCAACCCTAAAACCCTAAAACCCTAAACCCTAAACCCTTTGGCTTAGGGTTTAGGGACTTACCCCTGAACCCTACCAGCCCTCAACCCTAAACTCACCAGGTCCCGAAACTCTAAACCCTAAACCCCAAACCCCAAACCCTAAACCCTAAACCCTGGACACCTCAAATGGCAGCCCAAGTTTGGGCCTAATCTCCTGGGACTCTGCCTCGGACTTTCTAAAATTGTACCCTTGGGTTTGGGGGGGACCGCTTTGTAAGACCTCCACTTGGAGGTTCAGGGGTACTTATAGCCCCAATTCTGAGTCTCTATTTATAACCTACTTGGAGGCCTTCGGGTGTTCAGAAGTATACTTCGGGTGTTCAGAAGTATAGCTAGAACTAGGGTTATAGGTACCCTGATCCTCCAAGAAAGGGAAAGATAAGGTCCATATTGGGAGTATTTTAAGGGTACCTCTTCGGGGCACATCTTTGAGTCCCTGGATTATCATGGGTGGAGGGCAGTTTATGTTTGGAGTCGTCAGGGCTCGAGGTTGGACTGCTGGCATCGGGTACCGACACTGAAAGGCTTAGGGTTTAGGGTTTAGGGTTTAGGGTTTAGGGTTTAGGGATTCGGGTTTAGGGTTTAGGGTTTAGGGATTCGGGTTTAGGGTTTAGGGTTTAGGGTTTAGGGTTTAGGGTTTAGGGTTTAGGGTTTAGGGATTCGGGGCAAGGGTTTAGGGAAGTTCAAACCCTGAGCCCCACTAAACCCCTTGCCCTGGCTTGGAAAGCGGACACCCTGTGCTATCAACTCCTTGGTGATGCATAGTCCGAGACCTGTGCGAGTTAAGGGCTTAGGGTTTAAGGTTTAGGGTTTAGGGTTTAAGGTTTAGGGCTTGGGGTTTGCGAATCAGGAATTATAGGGAGCTATAAGCTAGGGCTTTGGGGATTCGGGGATGTGTAGTTTGTAAACCCGCAACCCTCAACCCTAAACCCTGAACCCTAAACCCTAAACCCTAAAACCTGAACCCTAAACCCTGAACCCTCAACCGGCTGGGTCTCAGGGGGAAGCTTTCGGGGTGTA